TAGAACTCATTTGACTTTTGCCATTGTTCATTCGTCCCTTCAAGAGTTTGCTCTAACTCAGTGATTCTGACTTAACAATTGTGCAGAATTTTTTCAAGATCTCTAATGCGTCTTCGCAGTGAAGCATTTTCTTCATTACTTTCTTTGAGATCATTAGGTCCTAGACGAACCTTTTCTTGGAACAATGATTCTTCAAGTTGCAAAATGTAAGCATTAAACTCTGAGTTTTTGTTTCTAGACTGATCCAGATCTTCTTCCAGTTTTGTTCGTGCTTCTTGCGTTCTTTGATTAAGCTTCTGGATTTGAACATCTTTGTTTCTGCATCTTTGCATCCAATTGCTAGCCACTTCTTGTTCTACCTCAAGTCTGGTGTTGAAATTTTTTCTTTCTAATTCCCATTTTTCCTTTTCAATATTGGATTCTTCCATCTTTTGGCCTCTGACTTCAAGTTCAGCAATCAAATGGTTCATTTCAGATTCAAATCCCTTGAACATGATATTTTTCTCGCCTTCAAATTTATCAAAGATGTCATTCTTCATCTCTTCTAAATCTTTGGCTCGATCCCTTTCTCTTTGCATTTCATTCATGATCTCGCGGTGTTCAACCTTGTGTTTTATAATTCGCTCTCTTCTGTCAACCTCGAAATCTTCCATTTTTTGCTTTCCTTTTTCCAGGCTTTTGAGTAGACGGCTATTCTTTCCTTTCAGATCTTCAACTCGTCTTTTCTCAATGTTCAATTCTCTGGTCATCTGTACCGTCGATTGGCTGGGTCCTGATGCTTTTCGGGATTTATATAACTCCTGGTAATTTTTCTGTAAGGCTCTGTATTCATCCTCACCTTTTTCTTTATCTTTTCTCAACATTGCACATTGTGATGAATGAAAGTCAATGTCAACCCCCAACATAGCTTTATCTTGTCTCATTTGCTCTAACTCTTTCGACCAGCCTTCTCTTTCTGCTTCAAGCTCAACTCTCAAGATTTTAATCTCTGATGGAACCACCTTAATGCGATCTTCCATAGAAATATCCTCATTTTGATCTGGTAGAGGAATATTTTCGTTTTTTCTGACAGATCTCCAATCTTCATAATCAGGAGTTAGCATTTCTTTTGCTGCTTTAGCTCGGATACAAAAAGTTGTTTTCCAAGCTGTAACGGCTTCCATGATATTTCTTTTATAATTTTTGCTGTGGAATGCGAACTCAGATGACTGTAGTCCAGCAGTGACAGGTACAAATTGACGACCTTCATACTGTCTTATAACCAGAAGTGGTGCATATCCAATTCCTCCCCATAATCCGAGCAGCATTATCCAGTTGTAATCACCACACCTGTAAAAGAATTCCCTTTGTATTTGCCACGGGGCTCGCCAAACAACGTCATTGCTTTGCAGATTTCGAAAGGCATTAATCCACATATCTTTCTTAATTTCTTTCGGCCATTCCTGCTCCAGAAATTCTTTTAATGGTGAATAATCCGTATTAAAGCGTCGGTATGAAACCTTTTCTGTTCTCCAGAAATGACTACGGATCCAAACATATAACAACTGGGTACACCCTGAGAATCGTCCACCTCCTAGCATTCTACAAGCATTTAACGATCTGAAGGTCTCGGCTAGAATTGCAGAAACAGGATTAATCTTTTTCGGTAGCTGTTCAAACAAATCTACCACTGCAGCTTCAACATATCCCAATACTTTTGGGAAGATGACCATACCATATATACCCAGAGCAAATAAATCAAATCGTACTTTATAATCTGGATGGCTCTGAATAATTTCTCTAATGTTGGTCCAAGCAATGCCTTCGCTTTCGCCTTTTTGTTTTGTACGGGCTGCTACCCATTCTTCTCGTACACCGGCAATCTTTGCTAATTTAACTCGAAAGGGTTGAGTTTTAATTGACTTTGAATATATTCGATTCTCCAAAGCACCTTCAAGATGTAACAAAGTTGTATATTCTTCAATAGTAGGGACCAAGTCCTCCTTATTGAAAGTGAAGCAATTGTACCCTGGATTCCAGAATTGAACTAGGGCTCTGAGTAATTCATCATCAACTTCAACATAGAGCAAATATGGGATGTCTCCGTAAGTCTGATAAAACTGCAATTTTTTGTTTGAATCCCAACTTTCCCAAATGCTTCGCAAATCTTGCATATCATTTCTTTTTAGTGAAACTGAAGCATAACTGGCCAAGTCAGATACATAATCATCCTGCAAACTGTCTCCTTCTTGTCTTTGTAAATCCTCAGCCCACTGTCTTACTTCTGAGTTTAGAATTACTTGACTTGAACACTTTTTATCCATAGATAAAGGCTTTCCAATGAGACAATTAACACAAGGATCAATGTCTTTTATCCTGTATGATGCAATGCAAACAGAAAAATAAAGAACACACAAAAAGAAAATAAATTAGTTTACATAATAAAGAAATTTAATAATAACATTTACATAAATATTCTTTATTTAAACATGCTTTTCTGAATTTAAATAATTTAAATAAACATGTAATTTAAACAATAAATAAATTAACAGGAAAGACAGAATTCATTTCTCCTGTGTGTACACCTATTTTGGACAAAATTTTGGCATGACTTCGGATCGGAAGAGTTTCTAAGGTTTTTTATATGCAAGGTTTCAGATCTAAGAATAAAGGTACCCGAATTGTCCTTGTTAGTGCCCCCTTGGGTTGCTAACCCTCAATCCTAGTCCATTACAGACTAAAGTGGATCGAGTTCAATTCGAGGGGATACATTTCTCTATGCCTGACACGGAGAATAAATTCTCACGAAAACATAGAGTATATGAACCCCGAAAGTTACTTGCTAGGTCTGACACGGAGAATAAATTCTCACGAAGACGTCGCTTTCACTCCCACTTAAAAGGGACAACTCAATTATAGAGCTTTATGTTATGCAATGCAAGTGTTGTGTGTGAGGAGAAATGTTCAAACCTTTGACAGAAAAATAATGAAATAAAATACTTGCAAATAAAATAAAACATATAAATATTATAATAATAAATAAATAAAAAATTTGAAAAGAAAGAATTAAATATATAAATTTTTAATTTTTAATTAATAGAGACAATTTATAATTGATTTTTAAAAGTTTGACCAATCCCCAGCAGAGTCGCCAAGCTGTCGTAACCGGTTTTCGTCCGGGCACGAAATATTAAATTTGGCGGGGAAATTGATGTGAATAAATAATTTTGAAAATAATTTGTGAGTCGCCATCGGCCTTTTGGGTCAGGTAGGTCGAATACCTAAAAAATATCTTTTGAAAGAGTTTTTAAGAAAACATCAATTAAAAGATAAACTGATCTGCGTTTTAACCAAAAATTCGTTCTTTTTAATAATAAAAAGGGATTCGTGGTCGGTTACGTTTAGGGAAGGATTAGCACCCCTACAACGCCCAAAATTGGTACTTTTTAATTATAAATTGTCTCTATTATTAAAATTTAAAAATTCAAAAAAATATATATTTAATTTATAATTCTATTATTTCAAAATTATATAAAAAATATTTATTTATTTAAAAATATCAGAAAAGAACTTCTAGGTGCCTTAAGACAGCTCTTTTCTTTGATATTGATAAATATTAATTTAAATAATATTGTTTAAAAAAATATCAGAATAGGACATCCAGTTGTATTAAGACTGTCCTTTTCTTCGATATTAAAAATAAACATTAAAATTTATTCCAGATTTATTATATATATATATTTATGAATACATAAAAATATTAAAAATATAAACAAATAAAATTAAAACAATAAAATACCACTAAAACAATATATTTTAAAAGCAATAAAATAAATGAAAACTTATAAATTAAATGACTAAATTATAGTAAAAATGAAATTAAAAACTTAATTCAATATTAATCAAAGTTATAAGGATTAAATATGTTATTTCTTTATTTTATTTATTTAGTGACTAAAATAAAATTATCTAAAATTCGGATATTAAAATAAAATAAATTAAAAATATAAACTAAGGATTAAAATATTATTTATTAAAATTAAGGGATTAAATCTGTAATTTATCCTAAATATATTATTTTAATATGAAGGACTAAAATAAAAAGAAATTAAAATTCGAAAACTGAATTAAAAATATTATAAATTCAATTTAGTGACTAAAATGTAAATTTTACAAATTATGAGGACTGCGGACAGGGTTTAACTATTTTATAATTACGCACATAGTCCTTCCCGAAACGACGTCGTTCGGGAAGGACTATAAATGGTCCAAAACCGGCTGGCCCGAAGGGCCAGCCTTCATTTTTCATTTCACTCTCTCTCTCTAAACTGAGAGAGTTTTAAAACTCTCTCGCCTCTCTCTAGCTTCCCTCACCGGAGGGAAGCCGGTCACCGGACGGCAACCGTGTGCTGCCGTGATTATCACCGCCGGCCACCGCATCCGGTGGCCGGAAAAAAATATTTTTATACTAATAGATAGATCGGACCGTCCTAAGGACGGTTCCGGTATTATTTCCTCCTAAAAAGCTCCCAATCGGAGCGAATCTACAAAAGTACCTTCGGTGTTTCGAAGGTTCCGGTGAGATCCGATGACGGTTGGGGTTCTCCGATGACAGGGTAAGCTTCTTTCCTCTCTTCTCTCTTTTTTCCTTGTTGCGTTGATGTTGACTGAGATCGTTGGTATATTTTAGTATATTTTTTCTCTGTTTTTTTTTTCCTCTCTATGTTCTCTCTTTTTTTCTGTTTCCGTCTCTGCCTCTGTCTCTGTCCTTTCTTTTTTTTTTTCAGGTTGGGGTGGTGGCTTTTATAGCCACCACCGTTGTAGCCGTCGGACCGGTTCTGGTTTGTTTGTAACTGGGCCGGTCCAGTTGTAATTGGCCTGTAATTATTATTTATTTATATATATATGTTTAATATATATTTAATAATAATAATAATAATAATAATAGTAATAATAATAATAATAATAATAATAAAAATACTAATAATAATAATATGGATAAAAAATTAATATCTTCATATCTCGTTCATTGCCGCGCGAACAGCAGGATCAGGAATAATGTCAACCATCAATATGTGCTCGATGCTATATCCATAGTCTCCCATCACCTGATGCATGATTTCAGATTGTGTACTTGCAGAAAGGCTTATAAAAGATGGAAACATAATCGCTCAAGTGCAATTATATAGAAAGTAGTCATAGTTTTGTGCACATATTTAAGCACACTTGAATAATTAACTAAATTGGGGAGAATGGGAGAAAAGGAAAGCATTATAGTACCTTACCAAGATCCTCGAGAACAGCTTTAGCAGCCTTACCCTTTTGTTCAAAGAGATCATCCAAATTCATTCTAGGAACCAGAGCTCGAACCACTACCCCCGAGAAGTGAAATGTTTAGTACTCAGAAATCAAACAAAGGGAGGAGACAGGGAAGGATAACTTATAAATGAATAGGATCAATACTTAAAAGGCAGGGATGGACGCAAGATTTTATGTTAGGAGGGCGAACTTGAACTTATAAAATTTCAGGGGGCGGAAACATATTTTCAATAGAAAATACATAGAAAAATCTAAAATATATCCCCTCGGTCGATCCCTGCTTAAAGGCTGACATTGCAAACAAAAGAGCAAAGAAAATTACCACCAAACATATAAGCCCGGATCTGTTCTTCGGGATTCTGCAGCTCATAAAATGCATCATCAGCATGTGCCTTAACCACTCTGTATTGAATCGAGCAAAGCAATTGCACAAACACATCTTCCTACAAGAAGTAACATTTCATCTTCATTAGTTTTGTGTTTTCTTTGTTTAACTTTATGCACAGAAATTGAATACTATTAAATCATACTGCTATTAGTTCATTTATTGTAATAGTAATCGTAATCCACAAACCCTTAAAATCAAAAGATAAATTCACTCCTAAAATGCAGCCAGTGATTTCGAGCTCGAATCTGTTCATATAAAAGACGAAGCCATAGCTCATTCTGTTCATGTAATCACTCTAAACTGTTAACAATATGTGGAATATCTCACCAAAAACACGAAAACTGATCAAACACGGATTTATGATCAGTCGAATTCAGTTCTGCTAGCTAGGCTTATTCATATAGAGTTGAAGGAATAAGGCGTGCAATAGATATACCGGAGAATAAGTAATCTCACCTTAGTTTTGGTGACATCTACTGCATTTTGTTGACGTAAAAGTCACATGTTGGTCAATTCCTCCCCTTTATTTGTCACTTGAGGATGTCAAAGCAATGTATTCTTGAGTTGACTTGTCTTCCCCTTCGTCCAAGTCTTCGAAGCCGGTAACCATGGAGGTCGGAGAAGTCCTATCTCGAGTGACTGGTAATTGAGGTTTAGAAGCATTGGTGATTTATTTGGCGGTTTTGATATCAATATGGGAAAAATGTATAAGTTTAGGGCTTAAATTGTGATTTATCTGGCGGTTGGCTTAGACGATATGTTGACCCGCGCCGGACACCAGACCATCTTTCGTCTTTACTCGTAAGTTTTCCTCCCTCCTTTCAAAATCATTTCTTTCCCTTTTTGTTCTTTCTAAAAAGAAAAACTTTATCCCGAGCCGGTAACTTTCTCCGGTCAACTCTTGCACCAATACGCTTCCTTGGTCGTCCCCAATCTTCCGATAGAAAGATAATTAGAGATTGGAGAATCGGAGAGAAAATTCAAAAAGATGGAAGATGATTCCTTGCAAACATCCCTGAAATGGCTACACGGTGTTCTACGAGGTAAAATAGGCCACGGATTGGATACCAGGGTCCTCGAAGGGCTGCGTGTTGTCCATGCTGAAAAGGGGTTTATGCGATTTGATTTAGTTGTTCCAAATGGTGTCTCGGTATGAACTTTCCTTCTCAAATCTCTACTAGAATTCCGGGTTTTCTATGTTTCCATTAAATTTATGACAATTGCTTTGATTTATAGGATGTTGATGGAAACTGGCATGTTGGAGCTCTAGCTTCATTGCTCGACCTCCTCGGAGGCGTTGCCATTTTCTCGTTTGCCAATCGTATAATCAGTTCAGTCGATTTCAACGTTTCGTATTATTCAACAGCTAAGATTCAAGTTAAGAACTTCTTGTTTAATTCCGTGCCTGTGTGCTTATTAAATTTGAAGGTGTTTGATTGATGTTTGTAAATCATACGACTGTGTAGGAACATGTAGAGATAGAATCAAAGGTTACCGCAAACAGAGGAAAGCTTTTACATGTGGTGGTTGAAGTTAAAAGGAAAGGGAATGGAGAGGTAATTGCTGTAGGTAAACAATGGATGGCTTCGAATAAACTCACTGTTGCTCAACTGAGCAATCTTTGACGACTTAAACCATGTTAACTGAACTGTGTTGATTTCTTATCATCCTCTTGGACATACAATAAACATGTTCTTTTGTTGCTTTCGAATCCGAGACTAAGTTCAAATGATTTATGCCATCACCATTGTTGCCGGACTATGATTTCTTTTGCACCAGCGTTTTCGAAAGGGTTTAAGATATATGAATATCGTTTTGGTATGAATGTGCACCAACTTGAAACTATGTTCAAGTTTCTGTGAGTTGTGACCGAATTGTAAGTAATTCGGAGTTTGAAGGTTTCGAATAAGATGAAAGTTTTCTTATAGCGAGTTCGAATGCAGTTCTTACTAAGCATATGCTATATGGTTTAGTTATTCAGATTCAAGGTTGAATGTTGGGTATGAGTACGTGTGTGATATGTTCAATGTTTTGTAAGTTTTAAGTCAAGGTGCCTAGAAAGATGGAAGTTTTCTTGTAGGCATAGTCTGTCTAAATTTCTTGAACTTAAGGTCGAATGTCGAATACGGGTAGATTTTCTATATGTAATGTAGTTTAAAGGTGCTCTGTAACACCCCTCACCCTGGTCGGAAGCTTAATCGAGTACCTGCTCGGAAGCTTAACCGAATAAAGAATGTTACATGACCACCCTTGCTATGTCCGGCCAGGTACATTTTCTCTGTTACATCTTGTTTCAAAATGGATCAGAGTGCGGCCAATGATTATTTCTACCAACCCCACTTTGAGCCTGAAGATGAACTTACAAGAAAGAAAGGTGGCAATCAAAGCAAAGAGAAAAATACAGTGATAGGCCGTCATTTGGAAGCTTAATTATTCATTATGCTTCATGATATTCCTCCATATTTAAGGACAGACAGGCAAACATTATATGTTTGATACTATGATTTTGCCTCTAGGTTGGCATGGCATAAGTGCCAAGGATTATATCCACCATAAATGTCCCATGGGACCTGGTATCAGTGTACCATAGAAATGCGGACTCGAATCGATAGCTAATGAAAGAAAATCCACTACATTACAATTTTCCGAAGAACAGATGTCGAATTCACATGAAAAATACCATTAGTACGGTACAACAATGCACAGAATCCTTAAGGCATAGTCCTGGCAAGAGGACACCAACAATTAAAAACCTTTGGAACCATATGCAACTAGAGACGGCTACTGCAGTTGCCAAGTTCTTGGACCACTTCTTCCATGGACGGTCTTTCGATAGGAGAGTCGCGTGTGCAAAGCCATGCGATTCTCGCTAGTTTAGCCGCTTCATAATCGAAGAACCTACCATGGAGGTTAGGATCGATAAAGTCTTGGAAACTGCAACAAGATTCGGCTCCCAAACATACCAAGCTGGTGATCTTTTGCTTCCCCGAGAGGATTTGGAAAACAACTACCCCGAATGCATAGACGTCGCTCTTCTCAGTGAAACGACCGGTATTAGCGTATTCAGGAGCTAGGTAACCCATGGCAGCACTAGCCTTGAGTGCTCCGAAGATTATGTCAATGGTGAGGATGTTGTGCAAGCCGGAATCCGAAAGCAGTGGATTGAACCGGTGATCGATGAGCACATTTTCGGCCGAAATGTTTTGGTGAATGAGGGCGGGTTTGTTCACTCTGTACTCATGCAAGTATACTATCCCTGTTCCAAAAAAAAGACGTAATCAAACAAATCTAGTTTAGCAAATAAGAACCACACTTTAACCCTGCAATAGATCAAGGCAAAGAACTAGAGACCAACCTTTGGCTATGCCTTTAACAATGGAAACTCTAGTGGACCAATCCAGGACCATGCCATCACCATCTTTCACGTCAAGATAGCTCAGCAAATTCCCGTTGGGGACGAAATCGTAAACGAGAAAGCACTCTCCCCGGGCCTTCGAGCAACAAAAGCCTCTCAAGAGCACCAAATTATCGTGCTTCAACGATGCCAAAACATTCAATCCCTTCAAGAACTCTGCATCATCCGATTTGCAACTCGTTTTGCTGATCCTTTTAATCACGGCAGGGGATCCATCCCTCAGGTACCCTTTATAGGTCACGTAAAAGTTGCTCTTCCCAACTAAATTTACCTCAGAAAAGTACTGAGTAGCAGTCTCGACCTCTTCTAAATTGAACCTAAAGCTCTTAAGGGCATCTTGGGTGAAGCCGTTGAAATTCCTGCCATCCAAAGGATCCCAACCATTAGCATACTCGAGGCTAGCAAGTGGTGAACCGTTCTTCCTGTAAACTCCCTGAGCTTTATCGGAGCTATCAGAAATATCGATCGGGTTCCCGAGCTTTGGTTTTCGGCGACGATATTGATTAAATGTGAAGAACCCTATAGCCGATAATGCAACCGTGGCAACAAATAGGCCAGCAAAAATAGGACCCTTTCGAGATTTCGGCTTGGAGCACTTAGTTTGCTCACATAACCTCAGACTTGCCGTCTCTGGTATTTCCCTAGAAAGACCAGTTGCCCCATACGCCTCGGGTCTGCTCGGATTAACTCCACCGGTGGCATTACAGGGGCTCAGCAATGGAAAACCCGACCCGCATAAACCGAGATTGTTTTGAAACAGGAACCCATCATTCAGTCTCTTGAGAGCTAGATCAAAAAAGTGTATAAACAATCAAATGGCGTACTGAAAACCACACAAAAATGAAACAAGAACAAAGCAAAAGATGATTTACCAAGAGGCACATTGCCAGAAAGCGAATTATTTCGAATGTCCAGAACTTCAAGAAGAGGAGCATCAGCTACTTTCATGGGGATTGAACCAAAGAGACTATTGAAACTCAAATCAAGCCTCGTTAAAGTACCCAAATCCCCTAAACTAGCTGGGATTGCACCAGTAAGTTGATTGGACTGCAAAGCAAGAACATTAAGCCTCTTCAAAGATCCCAGCTTTGTGGGTATGCTTCCTGTCAACTGGTTATAACAAAGCTGCAACACTACAAACAACATGCAACAAAAAGAAAAACATGTTTCAAAACATGCTGAAGACAATGGAAAACCAAAAGCATAACAGAGCAGTAAACCGACCTTGTAAGTTGCCCATATCAGCAATCTCAGAAGGAATCTCACCGGAGAGATTATTCATATTCAAATACAAATCAGTGAGCAAAGTCAAGTTAGCTATTTCTCTTGGGATTTCACCGTACAAAGCGTTGTAATGCAAGTAAAGCCCCGTCAAGTGCTTGAGCTCGGCAATCGCCGGCGAGATTTTGCCGGACAACCCTTTGCCTTGCAAAGAAATGTTGGCTACTTGGCCTTTTTCGTTGCACGCTAAGCCCTCGAAAGAACCACCACAAGGTTCTCCTTTGAAAGTCCATGAAGATAGATATTTATCATCCAGGTCCAAAGCAGCTTTGACATCCATTAATGCTTTCAGCTCAGTCTTCTCACTGAAACAACACTGGGTTGTGAAGAGGATGACGAAAAGCAAGAGACAAAGGTTGAAGATAATGGAAGCCATTGCTTTTGGGGTTTCAGTTTCTAAGAGTTTCAGCCAAAAACAAAATTGGTCGATAGAAGAAAATGGTTTTTTCCCCTTCCAAATACCCTTTTTTGGTTTCTCAGTTCTCTCGTGTCAGTCTTTGTAGGACAAAGAGAAGAGACAAAGATGCAGTGATGGCCATGCTTTTGCTTCAATTGAGAAAGGGGTAATGCTTAAAAAGTGAGAATAAAAATTACATTAGAAATATTAAAAATGGAAGGGAAAGAGACAATGGAGAAGATAAAGAGTGTGAACCGTTGGATTTATTGGCCTTTCTGATGTAGTGAAGAGAACAATAGTCTAGAGACACTCAGTGCAGGTTAGCTTTTTGGATAAATTACATATATAATATCTAAATTATCAGTTTTCATCCGTTCTAATACCAAAACTTTCAATTTTTGAAAAAATCATATCTAAAGTTTAATTTTTGTTTCATTTTAGTATCTGTTTAAAATTTAACGTGAAGTTTTTAAAAAAAACTGAAAGTTCGGATACTATAACGGACTAAAATTGATAGTTTAGGTATTAAATGTGTTAAATTTTTAACAGTGAATTATTAAAATGAAATAAAAACTAAATATTAAATATGATTTTGAATAACTTAAAAATTTTGGTAGTTAAACTGATCAAAACTAATAGTTTAAGTACTAAATGCATAGTTTATCCTAGTTTTTTTAATTGAGGAAACTTTGGTTGAACATGACGGTCTCACATTCCTTTCTGAATATAGCTGGCAAATGGTAAACTTTTTTTATGTTTTGTGTGACATTTGTAATTTTTTAATTATTTAATTCTAATTTTATAAATTTATTATCAATTACATATATAAATATTAAATAATTTAATTTTGACAATCAATGATTAACCACTTTGTTGTAGTTGTTGTGTTCGAATTCATAACTTCTAAGAAGAACAACGATTATTTTAATTATTGATTAAAGTTGAATCATGCGATACCGAGGATGATTTAAATATATATATTTGATATTTAAATTATATATTTTTCTTTTAAGTTGGTATTTTAAAAAATTATTTTCATGTTGGTACCTGAATTAGACACACTTTTTCGAAATTAATACTTAACTAAACATCTTCTCTCAAGTTGTACCGAATAAAAGTTTGCTCCTAATTGATAACTGAATTTCATTTTATCAAATATTTTGGTTTTTTTTATTAATAATATCAATTTCTGACGATATTATGATATAGAATTACTTCACACATATGCCTTCACATATTTGTTTTAAAATAAACTATTTATAGAAAATTTATTAAAAGTGTCAAAATTATAGGTGAAATTTTAAAAATTTATATTAATTTAAGAGTACGTATAATTTAGATATTAATTTGTAAGAAACTGTCTAATTTAAGTATCAAATTGAGAACAAAAATATTTGAAGTATCAATATATCATAAATTATTTAGCTGAGACACCACATGTATATTTAAGCCGTTTGTAGCCGTGAATTTGTGTTCCACTTTGAAATGATGGGATCTTCTGAGGACGTTGTACCGTAAGACCCATTGCCTCCTCCCCGAGTTTGAACGGTTGATTAGAGTTCCACGTGTCCAAATA